GGGCAATTTGTAATGCGTCCCACATAGCCTTCGTGGTCGTACAATAAGAAACCCTATAGTATTCATCAACTCCTAAAGAGGATATGAGAATATTTCGGGATTTCCAATCATAATTGTACTTTTTCTCATCATCATCATTCCATTGTGCTTTTGGTTTAGGTACAACAACGTTATTCGCATTGGTCATGGTTATTTCAATAGGACCATTTTGAATAACATTTTATACCTTTCTATCAATAGAATAGATATGCACTCGCATACAATCTTTCCAATAACTATAGTTTTTGCCATTAAAAATCGACACTCTATTATACGTCCCTTTAGGTTCGTTAGCCATTTTCTAATAAGCTATATGTGAAGCACTAGATGAATCGGTGCTCGTGATACCACATGTAAGATGATGGCACTGGTCTTGAAGAAGGTTGAATAGATCACTAATTTTTAATAATTTACGCTTAAAAATTTATATTAAAAATATGCGAAAGCGGCCTTGGATCAAAACTCGTCTAAACAAACCGTTATTGGATATATCAGATATGCGAAACCGAATGGAATAATTTGATGAGATAGTAGAATCAATAAGTTTCCAAATCAACAATTCAAATAAAATCTACTTAAGGTGAATCAATTTTCAATGCTTAATTGAGGATAAAATTTAAATTGACAAAACATCGAACATTTTGTGTGTTATCAATATATCAAGCACTTGGCGTGCAAAACACACAAAGTCAAATTTCCTTTGATTTACAGTGTAGAATTTTTCACACTTGCAATCAAAGTGATTGCAATGGTTTTTCACAACAGTTTTAAAACACTACAAATCAAATGAAACATTGCTAACAGTTGATTTCACACAAACTTCAACAATGTAAAGTAAAGAGATAGAGAGAGAAAAACGACACCCGATTTATTTAGGCAGTTCCTCTTTCATCCTCGCTTCGGGTACGTCTGCCCCCAATTTTAAAACTAGAATTGAGATAAATATAATATCTATGTGCAATATTCAGTACAAGATAAGTCCTAGCTAACCAACAATCAACCCCAATTGTTGAATTTGAATCTAACCATTTATCTCCCCTTGATTCCAGCCGAATCAAGTGCATCAAACACTTCGAACAAACCTTCAGTTACCACTACTCACTTGACCAAAGCTTTTGTTTTTCAAGTCTTTCACTCGGCTGATTTCGATCGTAAGATGTTTAACCTAAAATCTTTCAAAATAATTCTCCGGTTACCATTACTCTCTTGACCGAATCCACCGTTCTTCAAAGCTTTCACTCGACTGAATGTGTAATGCAAAGATTTGTGCAACCCCCCCTCCTCCCCCCAAATCTCTCAAGATCTTGGAGAAAAAAATCCTAATGGTTTTATTCAAGAAAATCCCACTGAATCTCTACCCAAACTTGATTTACAAATCATACGTTTGGACGTTATCACTCTTGACAAAGCACAATCAATAAAGATGATTATGTGTGATTATTGATTAATGCAATTGTGAGAGTAAAGACGAAGAGCAAAGCAATGTATCTTTCAATTTTCTTGTTATTTTCCAAAGTGATGCATATGAGTGTGTGTGTGTGTGTGTATATATATATATATATATATATATATATATATATATATATATATATATATATATATATATATATATATATATATATATATATATATATATATATATATATATATATATATATATATATATATATATATATATATATATATATATATATATATATATATATATATATATATATATATATATATATATATATATATATATATATATATATATATATATATATATATATATATATATATATATATATATATATATATATATACACGTACATGAATGAGTAACAAAAAAAACTAATTTTGGGAACACATTGACACAAAAAAATGAGTGAATATGCACGAGAGGTCAATGTATAGAAGTTGTGAGTCGACTTGAACAAGACAGAATTCAAAACTGCACACAAAATGAGTCCATGTGTCGACCTACACGGGAGTCATGCGTCGACGCATACATGGCAGAGAATTTTTAAACATTTTCATTTCAGTGTGCGCCAACTTGTAGAAATTCTGGATCGACGCAAGCATGGTAGAAAGTTTCATACACTATTTCTCTTGATTGTGAGTCGACCTATAACCTATGCGAGTCGGCCTAAAGCTTAAAAAATGACTCAAAAACTCGTTTTTGACATAGTGTATGATCCTATATGTCTAAATACATGTATACAGATCTTTATGCACGTTTGTAAAAAAATAAATGCACGACTTAGACAAAGTGATACCGTCCAAAATACACGAGTATGAAATATCCTAGTTTTGACATCATTGAAACATAGTAAGAAATGAACTTTTTCCTCACAAGTACAATTAGACTTACAAGCAACAAAAAACCATATGTTGTTCAATGCCTCTTTCTAACACTACCCAATGACTTTCTATTTAGATCATCCCCCTAAATATGAGAACCTGCTCACTTTCTTCTCAGCCACAAAACTAATGGTATAGGCAAACAACCACTAAACCCTAGTGATCAACTTCAGTCTTTACAAGATGAAAAAATATTGAATATTACAACTCAACTGGACAAATATTCTATGTCAAGTTACGAAAATATAGAGGTGTACATAAACAATGTTGATTACAACTCAACTATATAAACCTTCAATTTCAAGTTACTGAAACAAAGAGGTGTACATAAAGATCCTACATTAATCCTATTAGGGCATTAGTGTAGAATACACGACACTAAAACTACCACTCTAAATTATTCAAAGGAATTGTTTGTTTTTCAATGTAGGTTTGAGCTCCTTATATAACAAAGTAACACTGAGTTTTTCTCCTTGGATAACATCTTTGAATTCGTTTGGAATTAATGCAGAATCTATTAAATATTTGATTTGCTCCTTGAATATTTCCAACAAGATATGATTTGTTTTAATTTAAATTCAAATTTAATTCTTCATTTAAATCTGAATTAATCTTCATCCAGCTGTAAAAAAATACTTACTCATATTGTTAAATCAATAACAATAAAATCTTTAACAAACCTTCTATAAAACATACTTCAAAATGCAACATTCTGACGCTGGCTGCACAAGCCCCAAATCTCGTACCAACATGCTAGAGCATTGCGTCCATCATGTGTACTTCCAGCAACTTCATATAACTTTAGAAAATTAGATCAGCTATTCAACAAAATTAAATCTTTTTCCCACTCGAATCACTTATTTACTTCCTATACATGAAATACCGATAAAGGTTATGAAATTATGGTAACATCAAAAAATATTTAATATTAAATAACTAAAGAATTATAAGTATATTTTTTTTAATAAAGAAATATTTTATTATCAGAAACACATACAACCAAGCCGATTCTACGATCTAGGCTCCACAAGACAAGGCTCTAAGCTAACAAGAACTATAACAACACAATCAAGCTCTATTACAATACATGGAGAGTTTCCTATCAAACTCTATTCGCTCAAGGATCACGTCAATGATATCTTCACTTTGAAAATCCTCCATTGTACTATCCTGAATTATAATTTTATTTCTCATAATCTAAATCTTATATACTGTTTCAATAATAGTTATTTTCATAAGTTTTTTTTCACCATTTTTTCACTTATTATTGACTTATCCTGCCTAACTCATTGTTCCAAACCCCCACATTATGGCTAATTCTCATCCAATTCAACATTTTCTTCCACAACTTCTTAATCACCTCACAATGAAAGAAGAGGTGAAGGCAACTTTCATGCATAACAGAATAAACACACCGACCACAAAATGCACACCAAACTTCTACTATATATCTATCTTTAGTTAAGAGTGGATTTCGACAAATCATCCAAAGAGTAAACATGGCTTGTCTTGCCAAATTTCCAATGAACAACTTTCTCAAAACCACTTCTGATTAAATATATAAATAACAAAAATATTTTAAATCCAATTATTAAAAAAAAACATGTTATAATTAAGTGTTTTTTTTTATGTCAGTCAAGTGTTGATACTCTCATAAAAAGTATTTAATGTATGTAAATTATGATTAAATTTTTTTATAGTAACAATTGTTAATATGTTTAATAAAAAAAGAGAAAAAAATATGATAGCAAAAATAGATAAGAAAAAAAGTCATTAAAATAAAAACTAAATATAGAATTTATAGCGTGTGGAATTTGAAAAGCAAAAAAGTAAATTCTAGCATATTCTTTTAAAATTTTATTTAAAAAGTTAATTTTTAATAGAGGAGTTTTTGTATAAATTTCGTTTGAAAAAACGTTAAATTTTTTTGGTCAAATGAGCTGTGACATGTAAAAGCAATTATAAATTTCTAACCAAAAACAATATCTCTCTTAAAATAGAAGTTATCTATCTTAAAATAGAAGTGTTTGTCAAATGACATATCTAATTTGTATCTATTTTTAAAGAGTAAATGTTGTTTTTTAACATGCAAGGTGGCGTCTAGAATACAGTTGTCAAGTTGAAAAAACAAGTTATTGGACATCAAATCCAGTTTTTATTCTCATATACAAACCAGCCATTCATTTTCTTCTTTTAATCCAAAAAATTACGATGGAATAGAATATTCAAAGAAATAATAATTTTCAAACTCTTGTAAGTTAGTAACTTTTATTTTAGAACAAAAAAACTGTAGCGTAAGCAGCAAGAACTGCACCAACCCAACCGAACCAAAAACAAAAAATGAATAACACGTGTCTTATAGTTATTGGCTTAAACACGTAGCGAAAAATGTCGTCACGTTTTTCCTAAAGGACACGTATCGTGCATCGCAAGTAACCTATTATTTTAGCATAAATAATAATTTATTTATTTATAAGCATTTATTTAATATTTTTTATAGACACACAACGCAACACAATCACAAACCAAACCGTAGACACCACACACCATCGTTACCAGCACAAGAAGAAAAAAGGGAGAAAGAAAGAAAACAGAAAAAGAAGTTTTTTTGCGTGAAAATGGAAAACCAATCTTCAACAACCTCTTCATCGATGCAGTTTCTCATCCTCGAACAAGTTCAATTCTTGAAGGTAAACGACGATTCTCTTCTTCAATGGGAACTTGTCGATGTCGTTGACACCGAAGAAGAAATGGTTGATGATGTTGACGGGGAATCTTTCATTTCTTGGGCTGTTTCTTCTCCAATCGGCGACTCAATTGAAGGAATAAACCACCGTCTTCTTCATCTCGATGATGGGTTCAGTGAGGAACAGGTTAGGGTTAACCATGATGTTGTTGATGATGATGATGATGATGAAGACGACGACGATGATGATGATTTGGATGATGAGCTTGTTCCATGGGATATAGGGAACAAATTGGGAAGACAGAGAATGAGGAAATTGGGGAAAAGGGTTTCATCAAAGATGAACAATTCGAAAAGGTCTCCATATCTTTTTGTGAGTCCTGGTTGTGTTCGTGGCAAACATGGCATGGGGCTTAAACACTGTTTCTAATTTCTAATTAGGACATTAACTGTTAGGTTTTGATGAAACTTTAAGCAAATGTGCATTTAATATGTATTAATCACTTTCTTGTATGTTAATGAAAATTGAACGATGTATATGTTAATGAAAATCTCTTTCCTTTTGAGAGAACCATGGTTTTTATGTTTAAGTTTTCCAATTTTATGTTATGCTGTCGGTGCTAATGGAAACCAAATGGTTCAGATTTGATTGTGGGAAGTGTTAACTGACACATAATTCGGATTTCCTGGATCAGAGAATTGGAATTTATCGACTTTGTGAATCTTATCTACAAAGTAGTGGGACTTATATGATTTAATTTTATACAATCATTCAGTTGTTAATAGATGCGTTGCTCTTTAAGCTTTTAGAGTTTGTCATGAAATATTGAGTACGCTATTTGATTCTCTACTACTACTATAATATTACAAGGCTTGAGCAACAAAATGGTTAATGTTTCCAAATTTTATTTTAGCCAAATAAAACTTCTGACAATTTACTTAAATCTAGTTGTTTTTCTAACTCGGAATGAACTTAATCATTGTGACTACTAAATTTATTATTTTAATTTTGACATTTAGAAGTATTTGTTTTTTTTAGTTTTTAGTATGTCGAAAATTTAAACATTTACTATTTATCTAATATATTTGCATAGCTATCAACTAAATTGATTTAACGAAATAATTTAAGTTTTGACGTTCAGAAGTATCATGTATTGTTATATATTATACAACTCAATTAAATTTCTATCAATTTAAATACATGTGTTCTAGATCGGGAAAAAGTTTAATAAATGAAGTCTACCTAATGTTTCAAAAAACTCTCATAGTTATTTGACACGAATCTATATATATATATATATATATATATATATATATATATATTTACGCGTGTAAACTAAATGTATACACATTTTTCATGCTTCACTTTATTTCTTTTTGGACCCATTCAATTATTGGATGTTGAAATGCTAATCTCGTAGGTCCACCATGTGTTTCATTGCACCAGAGATTCACAACATCACATCGAGAGTCCAACATTGCAATTCAAGCATAATTTTGGTTCTTCCAGAACAATGACACTATATGTGGAAACTAACTTTACGTTCTCATGAATTTCCACAATTAGATATTGAGCGATAAGAAAGTTAGTTCGTCGTAACAGAGCGCTAAGATAAGTGAGAATGACTTATGTTTATAGATTCTTCAAAACTTTTGACCTACGCCTTTTTTTTGCATCGATGAAGCAATTGTGAAAATCTTCGCGCAAAAATAAGCTTTTTGCAATTGAATTTCCGTCGGTTTGCTTAAACAGAACGTGAAATGGAGTCGATAACCCTTATACCATTAAAAGATCGACAAAATCGTCAATACAACATCTTCAAACCCATGACCCTTACGACAAGAGAAATACAAATAATTGAGCATGCCCAAAGATGGTCAGGGGTCATAAACACAAACACATAATCCAGGTCGACACGGGAGACCAACACAGTTGGACACATGTCAACCTTACCACTCATCAGCGCACATATCTGCAAAAGTTGGTCGTGTAACAAACAAATAGAATAACAACAGGCGTATGTTTTATCGTTGTACCTGTCAAGAAGTCGTTGTCAATGTCATTAGACATACTATACACGACATTATCCCAAACCCATCAACGAGAAAGCTACAAGGTGAATATAAAGAGGTGATCATTATCACTGCTAGCTCACCTAAAGTGACATGTCTTTTCCAAAAGAAAAACCCGCGAGGGTTCTTACACCTGAAACAACACAATACCTCTTAGTTGCAGCGACGCGGACTTATGGTTAACCAAAAAATTAACATTTGAAGGAACATTATCACCCATTTAAGTGTGGTCGATCACTTATAGATATTGATCATTAGCCATTACATGCCTTAAAGAAGGAGTGCGATAACGTATGAAGGTGTCCCAATAAACATAAAACAACTTGAAATGCCATCAACCTAAACCCCGTCCCAAAAAATGATAGGTCAATAGCCCACCCCGAACAGGAAGGTCCAAAAAGTATTCATGCTAAGTATCTGAGAAATGGATGTTTGAATCATGTAATTATTTTCTAACACAACATAATTTGATATGAGTAACATCACAATTTCTATATGAATGATGTAGGTCACCCCCTTTTCAAAAGCAAAGTCAAAGAAATAAAACATATTAAGTTATAGCTGGTGTACCCCCTTAGGAGCTAGTCACTCCCAAGGTGTAGGTGGTTGGGCCCGAAGACGTCAACCTCGAACCAAGCACAGACTTGGAGGAAGGGAATGTAACCTAAATCTTGGCTGGGAGCGGTCCTCAACGACACTGAAGAATCACACAAATTCTCAACGAATGGGACATGTAAGACTTGCATTGGTTCCTGTAACACCCCCTTCTATACCCCCAAAATAATGCAAATAAACACTTATTCACATATAAAAAAATTTATCAGAGTATATATATGACATGGTATAAAAGAGGTACATCACATTATCCACGAAACGAAAACATAAACAACACCTGCTCATAGAGATATGTAACAAAAGGGGTAAATCTCAACTAAAAATCAAGCATAGCTCTTAAAACCCACATATCAATGTTTTAAGTAAAGCGGAAGGCTAGAACATTGAATTACTTAAGACATGATAACATAGAAATACACATCATCAGTTTGGTTCACAATATCATTCATGTTTTACAAAACATCATCAACTGATACATATACAATGTATCACAAAAGAATACTCTACAAGCCTAGCTACCCAATGTTACATTATCAGAGCAACTGACTCAAAAGAATAAAACTATACTTCGCCAAAAGAAACCTCCAGCAACCTAATCTGCAATGTCTCATAGAGCATTATAAAACAGCAGAAGGGTGAGAAATATTATCATAATAATCAATGCATATAATTATATACGCATACACAATACTTAATGTACATACTCCACAATTTCTCACCATAATTCATTGTAGTTCATTATACAATCACAACATGCACACACACAATTATACATAGTCCACGATTTCCATACACAAGCATATTTCATACAACAATGACATTCATGCGATGTGACTCAATACAACTCGATGCAAACTCATGTCATGTGGTACCAACACTTGTTATCTTTTTTCAGTTTACATTAAACCGGGTCCACTCTTCTAGACCGATAACCACCAAAAGTCTGTCCTCTAAGCTTTCAAACCCACTCTTCTAGGTTTGGGACAAGTCACTAGTCTCCACGAAACTAGCAAGCATTGCCTCTTGACTAAATGATGCATATGCAATCAACAATCAAATGCACTTAAGACCGACATCTTAATCTCATGCATTCAAATAATTCATCTCTTCAAGAATTATAACAACGATTGCACACACACACAACATATTCACAAATATCATCAATATATTTTCAAGCAATGCACACATATACACAATATATTCTCATGCATTCTCAATACATTTTTATTCACATTAAACAATGTATAACATTTGTCAAAAGACCATAATTCAATTAATTCAACAATCTAGGATTCACACCATAAGGCTACCCACAGTATAATACATCTCGGCATAATCGATGCCTCGAGCAAAGGAAAATAATCATAATTGAGTCGGAAATCCGACCTCGGATGGAAACATTAAAGAAAACACAACATGTTACGTTCGCTACTCTGTTCGCTTGGCGAGCTCCTAGCGAGTCTTCGCTACTTGTTCGCCCAACGAACAAGCTCGCGAAGGCAAGCAGAAGCTACTGACTTCGTTCGCTACCTCGCTCGCTCAACGAAGGCCTAGCGACCCTTTCGCTACCCCCTTCGCTACCAGCGAACACTAAAAAAATACATTATGTCCAAGTCTAGGACCGTTCGCTACTGGCTCGCTACTAGCTCGCTTAGCGAACGTTCGCTACCAGCTCGCTCAGCGAACACGCTAGCGAATGTCTGCGAACTCAAAATTTCTCACTGTTCTTCCACTCCAAAACTCTTGGATTCACCCGATTAAATCCCAAATCATTCCAGTAACTTAGCCTAACATCACCCGACATAAATTCTACTACTTAATCTCAATTTCACCAACAAAAACTCGAATTCTACCGATTAATCCATTTATGCCCTAAAATGGAAGTTGTAGAGAAACATCCAATACTCTAACCCAAGCATACATATTCATATACATTGTTAAGATAATGATATTTCACACCCTTTCCTTGATTAATCCAAAGCTTGAGAGTTGTTCTTAATGATTCCAAGTTCTTCCCTCTTCTTCTTCTCTTTTCTCCTTTTCTCTCTATTCTTTCCTTTATGTTTCTATATTTTCCTTTTCTTTCCACTCTCCTTTTTAATACACCTTTCTCTTATAATTCCCTCCAACATCTATTAATTCATTTAATTAATTACCCATCAATTAAATAATTCTCATTAACCCATTAATTAATGCAAATAATTAATTAATGAAAAATCGAGTTGTTACAGTTTCTAACATATGGGACATGTAAGGATTATGCAAGTTCTTGATAAATAAAATGGGTAATGACAAAACGCAAAAGGTCATGTCGGATCCTAACAAATGGGATAGCCAAACCAAGGTGTAGGAAGCTACCATTATTCTCGAAAAGGAGTAAACACATAAGAAAATCAACACTAAAGACGTCAAATTTGAGAGCGGACCAATCAATGGAAAGGAAGACAACTCAAAATGGTTAAATTGTTAAAGCAGCTTGAAAATATAAAATAAGTTTAATTAACATAATAAATAGAAGTAATTACAAAGACCCAAGAAGGACAAAAAAAGTGTGCATGCTATATCAAAGATAGAACAAAATATTTATCGGGGCTTCTCTATCTCTTATAATGGCGCCATCCCAAACCATTTTCTCTAGATCCAACTCCGATCAAGGAACATGGGTGCCCAAACACAATATCTCAACTTGATCAACCACAACTTTGAAAGCTTTTAGAACGACTTTGAGACCCTTGTTAATAG